ACTAAAAGCTGGCAAATGGTAACAAAGGCATTGCATAAGTATTATACAAAAAATTAAATAGGATTATATATGTAACTAACATACCTGTAATTGCATAGTTTGTTACAGTAATCTTAGTGAGTCAAAGTGACGTGTCAGATTTTCAGTATTATACAGTAAAGATGTGCATAACACTATATGCTACATTTTAAGTTAGCAGGTGATTTTCCAATGTATCCTTTGGAATCAGCCCATGAGATTTGAAGTCGGTTTTAATTAAGGAAAACAGGAAAGATATTGTATTGAAGAGAATCTTTGAAATCAAAATTTTATTTAATATTTCCACTCTTGGTTGATATGTTTATAGCATACAGTCAATTTAAAGCAGACTTGCTAGTAATAATCATTTTTTTTTTTTTTTTTTTAAATGAACCCATTTTAGAGTGTATAACATGGCATTTCACTTAAAGGAATTCAGTCATTAAAGACAGCAGCAAAAAGACAACTTGGGCGTATAACTAAATGTTTAATTGCAATGCCTTATATAATTCTGAAATAGTAATTATTCACCCTTAAACCAAAAGGGGCACTTTAGGCACCCAGACCACTTCAGCTCATTGAAGTGGTCTGGGTGCTTTGTCCCTATTGCACTTGCACTTTTGCACTGTTTACATTGCAGTGCTAAGTCTGCCCTTTGTGGCTGTCTACCAGAATCCAAACAGACCTTTGGTCCGTAATCTGACGCTGGACGTTCTCACGCTCTGCATGAGGGCCTCCAACATCAGTTGTTTCCCCATAAGAAAGCATTGATTAATGCTTTTCTATGAGGAAATCGTAATACAAGTGTGAGGGAGGAGCGGTGGCGGAGCCTGACCCTGCGCCGAGGGACATCCGCGCTGGATTCAGGTAAGTGACTGAAGAGGTTTTAACCCCCTCAGCACTGTGAGAGTGGGAGCGTGAGGGAGGGGGCACTGTGGGGACCTATAGTGCCAAAAAAACTGCTTTATTTTCCTGGCACTATAGGATCCCTATAATCTCCTGGGTTCAATTTACATGCATTTCATAAACAGTTATATAAAGGTATTATAAATCAATTAAAGGGACAGTGGTTTAAGCTTTCTTTCCTGTACATATACAATTTGCAATAATAGACACTGTTACATAGACTCTGTTCACATTCCCACCTCCCTCAGAACTCTGTCACTAAGGGCATGCTGCTACTTTTTTAAGCATTTAGTCACTTCTCATTGCCTGTGGCTATATTTAGCGGGTGTTTACCTACACAAATAGGGACAGGTAGTTGGCGTGGAACTTCTAATCCCCAAGCATCCGACCATATTCAGGCAACGCTTTGTCGATTGCTCAGTTTTACATTCACATGGCGCTTTGGAGATACAGAATTTGACCAAACAGCCAATAAGACCAGATCCATCTCATTTTGCCCAAAACCGAATGTTCAAGTCTAGTAGTGACTAATGGCGCACATTATTATCTATGGGAGCCACTACTATCTACTAAATGACTGGTTTACAACCCTGTTTATATTTGTTACTGGCTGCTTCTATCCTAAAAAAGCTGGCCCTGTGAAAAGGGGCTAATGACAGTTAACTTCCTAGATATCCTATTAAAACACAACATTATATTGTTTCAACCCAGTTACTACTTTTTACTGGCCAACTATTACTTGTCCTTTGCTACTTGCAACAAATGGTAAAACTCAGGGGTGAGGTTCTGTGTTTTACCAGCTACCTACCAATAAATATCTGAAGCTGTAGCTTTTAAGAGTGATAGACTGCAAAACTGAAGTAAGGCAGCTGTAAACCTGGTGATAATTTTAGCCACTATAAGATGCCGAATGTCAGGGCTGTCATCTGAAATTTTGAGGCCCCTCACACAGCTTAAGGCCTGGACACCCTTGGCCCACCCCGGTGTCTGTCCACAAGGCCCACCCATGACTCCACCTACAGGGCCCACCCATTAATTTGCTGTAATTCAGTTTAGAGCAATAATTAATTGGTTGCCATCTCATACAGTTGGGGGGAGTCTCATTCACAGAGCTAATATTACTTAGAGATGAGCAGTCTCACTGCCTGTAAGATAATCTCATTCATTGTTGAGCAAGCTTGCTCACTTGATGGCTATTTCATTCACTGCAAAGCAGGCTATTTTATTTCAGATCAGTGAGTCTAAGTCACTGTACAGTAAACTCATTCACTTCAGAGCAGACTCACTCATTGAATAGGATTATATATGTAACTAACATACCTGTAATTGCATAGTTTGTTACTGCTAATATTATTATTATTATAATTATTATTTTATTATTTATATATGGCCAGCAAATTCCGTACCGCTTTACAATGGGATATCCCTCATTAATAATTTCTCTTCATGGTAATTTTATACAGTTTACATCAAGCATGTCAAACTTGTGGCCATGGGCCACATGAGGCCCACAATGGATATATTTGCGGCCCACCTACCCTGGGGCCACTTTGTGTTGTAGCTGGGACCAGATGCAAGACAGGAAAGAAATTTCCTGTCTGATTTTTGTCTTCCCTCCCACGGTCGATCACGTGTTCTTGCAGGCCAGCCACTCCCCCTTCTGCTCGCAGTGCTAGAAGAGCATCTGGCCAGCTTGAGTAAAGAAAAGCTGGGCTCGATCTGAAGGACAGGCGGCTCATCTTAAGGTAGGAGAAGAAGGGGTTGGGGGACCTTCCGGTGTAGTGTACTAAATTGGGGGGGGGGCAGTATATTAAATTAAGGGGTAGTGCATTAGATTGGGTGGAGGGGCAGTGTATTAGAGTGGTGGGAGGGGGCAGTGTATTGGATTTGTGGGCAGTGTATTAGAATGGGGGTGAGGGCAGTGTATTGGATTTGTGGGCAGTGTATTAGAATGGGGAGAGGGGGTAGTATGTTAGATTATGTCTGCATGGAGGCGCTGAACCATGGGGACATGGTGATGCTGAGTGGCCGTGCAGCTTTTTGCCACAAATGCACAATAGCCTCCCATTGCTAGGACTTCAAAATCAACAAGATAACGTCATTTGTTTTTCACAGCTGTGCCGCAGCATACATTCACCATTTCAGTCCCATTATCAAACTTTTCTTAATATGTCAAGGACTGAATAGTTGGACTGAAACATTGGTTATATGCACATCTTCTTAAAATAAATTCACTTTTTTGTTTACTTTGAAGCCCTTCGAGCGTGAGGACGTCCAGTGTCAGTTAGGCAACATTTTTAAACTGTACTTATCTAAATAAACCTATGTTTCAGCCCACATCAACTTAAACCTTGTTTATTTTTCCTGTGTTAGCCTTTGAGCACCCTCACACACACAGCACCCTTACACACACAGCACCCTCACACATACACACACACACACACCACCCTCACACACACAGCACCCTTACACACACACACTAACAGCACCTTCACACACATAGCACCCTTACACACAGCACCATCACACATACACACTAACAGCACCCTCACACACACAGCACCCTTACACACACACACTAACAGCACCCTCACACACACACTCTAATAGCACCCTCACACACACAGCGCCTTCACACACACACACAGCGCCTTCACACACACACACACAGCGCCCTTACATGCACAGCGCCCTTACACACACAGCACCCTTACACACAGTGCCCCCCCCCACACACACATGCCTAGGGCAGCACAAAACCAGGATACACCACTGATTGTGTATGTGTCTGTGTGTGTAAGGGATGCATATTGTGTGTGTGTGTGTGTGTGTGCGCACATGTATGGATGCAAATTATGTGTGTGTGTGTGTGTATGTAGGGATGCATTGTGTGTGTGTATGTAAGGATGCATTGTGTGTGTGTGTGTGTATGTGTGTAACGATGCATTGTGCAAGTGTGTATGGATGCATTGTGTGTGTATATGTATGGATGCATTGTGTGTGTGTTTGTGTGTGTGTGTGTGTGCATGTAGGGATGCATTGTGTGTGTGTTTGTGTGTGTGTGCATGTAGGGATGCATTGTGTGTTTGTGGGAGCTTTTTCTCTTTAGATTTATTTTGTTCATAGAATTGTTCATATAATTTTATATATATTTTTTTTTCGTTTATTCCGTTTCCCTGTTTCTTACCAACATCTGTGGTTTCAATGCTGTGGATACCGTGGTAATGCTCTGAAAGCTGGGGCTGAAAACCTTGTGTCCCTTTTCTGCTGCACAAGCTCTGCAAAAGATAAAAATATCTCCCTTACCGGGTCTGTTTGCATGTAAGGCTGTGTGCACTTTCACGGTTGTCATGTCCTGATGGTGGCCCTGTATTGTTCAGCTGCTATTTACCAACAAGACTGTAAACAAGCTTTAGTGCTTATCTCTTAGGGATTTTTATAAAAATGTAAGAATAAAACTTTATTGTGTTCATTACATTCATCCTGTAGTTCTTATTTTCATTCTCATTGGTTCTACAAATTATGTGTGTTCCAAAATATTCACATTAAAGCACAAATATTTTTTTTTTTTAAATTACAATAAGTATCACAAAAATATAAATAAAAATGCTTGTGGTTGCTAGTAATTGTATTCCTGGAAATACACTTTTCAAAAATTCCATTATAAGTTTTACATTGCATATATGGTAAACAGAGCACCTTGGTTAAATCTGGCATTGTATTTTATATAAGACATTGCAGGTTGTATATATATCCTAATATGTTCACTCCCTTTTTCTACTAGCTGCCAAAAATACAGCATTAAATATGAATTATATAAGCTCCAGTATAGTATTGACCTTTTTTTCAGTTCCTCTGCATATGGCAGAGAGGAACTGAACATTGCTTGTCACAGAAATGTGTTCTCTATCAGGTGAACACCACTGCTGGATTGGTAAAGGAGCAAATGCGACTGTTATACATTGAAGTACCCTGTATTTTTGATTATTGCTCACCAATTTTAATAACTGACATATAAATATAATACATAAATGTTTAAAATTCAGGCTATTATGTGCAACTGTAAAGAAAAACATAATAATTACACCACAATATGAGTCAAACATGAATAATTCATCAAGTTAAATTTGGTGTATATAGCTTCAAGCAGTACAGCTGCCAAATGGACTTTAAAGATTTAACCATTATTATGTTAGATGAACCATAAACACCCTTTCTACACTCAGAAAAAATAGTTTTGCTACATTTGCTTGTCATGGGTGTAGAACATGTCCCCCTTTTTTTTTTTACACAAATCACAAGCAGACATTTATCTGAAGTGCATTGTATTAGTTTATATATAGCATATTGAAATATGTTTTAATTATAAGCCAATTATTAGTTATCAAAATAATTGATGCATTTAATCTAGCAACAGCTTACATTTCTTTTGTTCATACGCATTTGTTAGACTATTTATATTTTCACTGCATACCAAAATAGATCTTTTATATTGCATTAAAGGCCTTAATAAAGCACATAGTAGGATATCCATCTAATGTAGCACATCGTGGGCGACAGAATTGATGGTTTCCTCACCTCCTGCACGTTTATGAAGTCTCTCACAGGTAAAGCACTCGGGAAATATTTACTGCTGAATCACATCATTCTATTCAGTTCATATTAATTATACTTTATTGAGTTTTGTTATAGTGCAAAAATTAATTAGTACAACAGTCTTATGTTATGTGAAAAGATAGACAAATAATATATCTTGCAATTTATACAGACGAGGAAGGAAATATTACAATATATCAAAAGGAAAATACCACAATACAAGTTATTAAGACAAGGGAAATACAACACAATGTATCCGACCATCGTCAAATTCCTAGTACCAATAGTTCACACAAGCCAACATGGGTGGAGGTTATTGTTACTCACAGGTTGGTTTTCCAAGCTATGATCATAGAAAGGAGGAGTTATGACCTTGAGACTTAGACTAATGGTAAAACTTGTTCCAAGGGTCTCAAATTCCATCAATTTTTATTCTAGTTTGCTGTAAGGGATGACATAGCTTATCACTTTTTTAAAAAGAGGACATGTAATGCATAAATGCACAGATGGCAAGGACCCCTAAGAAATGTAATGTGTACGTTTTGGTATTGGAATATGCTTCCAGATCTCAAAGGTGGGATAACCCACACTTGCGCTTGTTAAATCAAACCCAACACCTTTCTTTCCCAAACTGTTTTTATTGTATGTTTTCTACAATACATTTTAAAAACAACAACAAGAGGAAAGGTTACATTATAAATAAAAAGGTGAAGCAAAAATCTTCAACTTTCTTTTCCCAGAGAGGAACATAAACAGTTGTCTTTAGTAAAATTAGACAAGGCAGGTAAGAAATGGGCACCATAGGAAAAAAGATTAGGTAGATCATTCTATGGTCTTACAATAATAATACTCTCCGCTGCAAGCCTGGAGGATTCATGACACACTCGCAAGGGGTGAATGTCTTCTCAATTTTGAGCCCTGATAATATGATTATTTTGGCAGAAAAGGGGTGTTTTTTTTCTTAGAGAACTAACACCAATAGCTTCAATGCCAAATCCAGGTTGTTGTCAGACATAGCGATCAGTCTTTGATGCCACTGAAATGGTTGGTTTTAAGCAATACATTCATTACCTAATTAACTCCAGAAAATGGACGAGATAATTGAATAGAGCTGCCTATGTATCAATGTTTTAGTTTATGGGGACTATAGATAAATTAAACTCTAGAGTCTAAGGCTTAAAATGAAATAATTGAGACTGTCTATAAAACATTTAGTAGAGAATTAATTTAGGTTGACTTTGGCCGACCTCTCATAAGTCAGCTAATATTTCACAACCACATAAATTCCAGCTGCTGAATACATTCTGAAAAAAAAACATCACTATGGTTTCTGTGTATACTAAAAATATAAATAAATCTGAAAATCTAAAAAAAAAAAGCTTATTTGATGTAATCAAAAGAAATTTTAGCACTTAGTAAATACATCCCAAAGTGACTAAAATAAACAATTTCACATTGATTCTAAACTATGTTTATGTAATTGGATTATTTTTGCATGACTGAATATAATATTGACTTTTTCCCATCTTTGTTGATCTATGTTGTCATAAACGGCACCCATTAATTGAGTTCTGCTTCGGAGATTACTTGACTTGAGCCAGGGGAAATAAAAAAGATGATGACGCCAACATAAATCTTTTATTACTTTGCATGCAACATTTTAGTGAATTTTTATTTTATTGTATAGACTAAGGAGCTTTATTAAAATATATATATATATATAAGTCACTACTAAATGCAGATACATTGTTCAATTAAATGTAGTTAAAAATTTTGTGGTTTAAAGTGTGTAATGCTTTCACTTGTAATGTGCATAAACTTCTGCAGAATCATTATTTCTAGAGCAATATTGTAGAATTATATGTTTCTTTTTTATGTTATATTTTTGCATATTTGCATATTTCGCATGGAATGCTGGGAGAAAGCACAAAACTGATTGGATGAACATTTAATGGATATCAACAGTACTCTGCAAAAACATTAATACCATTACATAAGGTTTAATGGTATGCTAATGGAATCCTTTTTTTTATTAAACAATAAAAGGTTGTTTTTTTTAATGGAAACTGCAACATTCACAACTATTTACTAAAACAAAATCAAAAAGTGCTGACTAAAATATGTTACCTGCGTATACATTATTAAGGTTATTCACTAAAGTGAGAACTCAAAGTTAATTTAAAGTAATTAAACTAGCAATACAATCTAGACATAAGATTAGTATCATGAAAATAATATGTAAAACAGGCTTAAATACAGTGTTGAGCAAAAAACAGGGTGCAAGAGAATACTGAGAACGGAATAGCCTGCCCTTCGGTGGGTCCCCGCTCAGTTTTCAAGCTAGTTTTAGCTCATCTTGTGCCATTACAGAGAGAACATCTCTGAAACATATCAGACTGGTCCCACCCATATGGGCAGTCCAGATCCGAAATGCCAGCAAGTTCTCTCTGCACGAGAGACACAGCAACCCCAGACAATCGTTTCAGCCTTGTTAGGCATCATCAAAAAGGCATAGTTGATATCTCTCTAGGCACCGTGAGCAAGGGGTCCACATGTGGATTACCCGTTAAACTTGTGGAGAGCAAAAAACAGGGCGCAAGAGAATACTGAGAACGGGCAGCAGCTGAAGTAGCCTGCCCTTCGGTGTGTCCCCGCTCATATCTCAAGCTGGTTTTAGCTCATCTTGTGCCATTACAGAGAGAAGCAAGATCGAGAGACACAGCAACCCCAAACGATCGTTTCAGCCTTGTTAGGCTGTGTTGTTCCATTAAGATAGTATAAAAGATAGATGACAAATGCTTCAGCTCTGTTATAGTTATACTACGCTTATACTCATTCTGAGCAGTGGGCTTGAGATAAGTAAGACAACCACGAGGCCCCCAATTAGAAAGTGAGTGCCTTGGTATACCCTCCCCCCATAAACAAAGCAGACCAATAAAATAACAGTATGAGATGGAGAGCCAAAATGGTATGCAGTGTATAGGAGACTGGTGGAATTTGAGTATTCCCATAGAAGTCTCAGTCCTAGTTCACCCCATGCCTCTCTTGGGTAGCTCAGAGACACGTTGTGGTAAGGTTGAACTGCTGAAATAGGAGCCTGAGTGGAGGTTACATGGACTCCAGGTTGGAACATAGATAAGGGCTTGGTTGTAATCTCAAGGAGCCTTCCGTCGATCGAGTTTCAGGGGATGGAGCAGAGGTGTAGAACTGCTTGCGCGGGCCAGATAGTAGGTTGTGCCTGGCTGCCTTCATTCTATATCTGCCCGTGTGTCTCCACTATGTTTGCAATTGCCGTGGTCCTGGAGCCAAGCTTTTTTGCCGTAAGTGCTGGGATGAGTGGGCTTTTGGCACCTGTGGGTTCCCTTGTTGCTGGCATTCATGATTTTTCTCCAGAACTCGTCAAAGAGCTGATCAAGCCTGCAGGTGAGTGCAGCTCCAGGTTCACATTTGGCGTCCACCATTCTATGGGACATGCTAGAAAGGGTCTCTTGCCTAGGTATGCTTGGTGGTTCAGTGGAGTGGTGGGACCTCACGGATGGGGACCGGGATAACCCCCACCAGCCCATAGGGGGGAACGGGGCAACAATCATGGTGAGCTGGTTCCTGTGACTCCTCAGGTCCAGAAATTGGCCACCTCTTCCGCCTGCTGCACCCCTTAGGCTGGCAACATATACCGTCAGAACAGCATGGGGAAACCGCCTGCGGCTTCTGTATTGTGGTTCAGTGTGATGAGAGTTGTGGTAGGATTTTGTGCAGCTCAATTAGAGAGAGAAATTAGTAGCTTATATCCCAAATATCAGGGATTACACGAGTAGCTCTCTCAGGCCCTGCCCCCCCATGGTACTTATTTTTTATACCTGGAAGATTATTCTTTAACCACTTAAGGACACATGACATGTATGACATGTCATAATTCCTTTTTATTCCAGAAGTTTGGTCCTTAAGGGGTTAAAGTGGATCAGTGTCATCTCTGAAAGTAAAAACTAACACAAAAGAGGGGTGGAGCACAATTCTAAATATACATACATACTGTAACGGTACCCCGGGTATAGAAGGGGTTAATGCCGCCAAAGACGTTCCCTTTCCCGAATGAGAAGTCAGCTACCGAACACTCCTAAGCACCGAACAGGAAACACACGAATAAGCCCCCCAAGTACGAGACAAGGCTCTGTATTGAGGGTCAAGCAGGATCTGTTTAATGTGGGCTACATGCCCATCTTTTATGCAGGTCTTCCAGCAAGGGACACTCCCATAGGGACCTTGTGGAAGACTGAGACCGTTTTGTACAGCAACCAATCATATATTATACATGTACAGTAATAAACACTCCCACGTGAACATTTCAACTTCTCCTCTCTATCCTGGAGATAATTGGGTTAATTACCTCCAGGGATGGAGAATATCCTCCATTTTATACCTACAATAAAACACATAAAAATATATATTTCCAAATATACTGAACAGAATCCCCACATTCAACGTATCCCCAGATAGCTTAGATCTGAGCACTCAATATAACTGAATAGCGCTCAGATCCCATACATACAGTTCAATCACCATGGAGCTAAAGTCTGGTACATGGTGCTTTCGATGAAACGAATGGGCTCCATGGGATGGCTGTCTGGGGCAGTTCTGTTCATGTATAGTCAATGTATCGTATGAACCTGGAACAGACAGGGTC